GAATGATTGAACGCGTTCGAGTGGATAGTATGGGTAAGTATATAATATAACAGAAGTCGTTGGTAAACGACACGATACTATAAAGCATAATCTGCAGCGAGTCTGTATAGTCTCGTCGCGTGAAATAATAATATAGTGAAGTTAAATATTATTATATTTTGATGGTGATGATAATGACGTAGAGGCGGCCACGGGTCTCCGTTGTAATAGTTATAGAGCGGTTGTTCATTTTTATTATTTTCATTTTCTCTGGCCAGATTGAATATTTTATGTATTATGCATTCTGCAGTGAAATTGAGCATATTTATATATATATTATATGACGTATAATAATATAGTATATTATGCATTATACACATTTATTATTATGGTTACAATAAAAGAAAGGATAAAGTGAAATAAATAAGTTTCACATGGATTCATTAAATATTGATTTTATCATAAATAKACTAAAGGTTTGTAATAGGTAATATAACTGATAACATTTTAATTAAAAACGTTTTTGATTATTAATTATCGTATACATTACCTAAGACATTTAAGCAGTTTGTAAGATATTTATTAATTTATGCATAGTTATTGTGTATAAGATATTATAATTAATTACAGCTAACCAGAAGTTCAATAATTATTGTTATATTCTATATTCCTAAGATATCATGATTCAACACTGGAAAACAATTCTTCTCAATAATAAATAAAATAAAAACCTAAGTTATTTCTTAAAAGTTCTAAAATGTTTTCACGATTACACAAACAGTTTTAAATATTTAACATTTTAAAAAATATTATAAAATAATAATAACTATGTAAAAACAAAACTACACCTATATAAAAATGATGTAAAAACTATATTATAACAATATAAACAATRTCAGCCAATGGCCACCGTTGCCGAGGCTTATTTCTAATTAAAAAAAAAATTTATATTGTGATATCGTTGTTTMAATTATTTATACAATATTGTACGTTCTCTGGTTTGTATTAATTTTACATATTTTATGAAAAAGTCACGAATAATTTATTTTAGTTTTCCTAAATTCGATAAGATGAATGTTAGTCATTATGTCTGTTAATTAATAAGACTTAACAGTGACCGTTTATTATCATCAAAATAATAATTAAAGTGACTGTAATCTTTCTCAGCTGTTTATGATCTTATTATATAATGATAAATTTTAATTCATTACTATTAGATTGATAATACTATAATAGTATTACACTATTACCAGCTAAGAGTGCTAGCAGTATTATAAATTATGGATAATTTATAAGATGTATAATGTATATAGGTACTAAAGTACTATGAACGAACTTTACAGCCATGTATTTGTTTARTTTTAGAATAATTATAAATAACAAATGCAAATTTCATCATAGGTGAAAATATTATATCGATAWAGGTATTGATACCCATACCTATGTTAATAATATTAATTATTGCATTCACTCTCATGAACCAACTGATAATTTGTTTGAACCCGGAATCTATGGTCATTAGCTATTTATGKCGGTTACAGTCATCACCGTTCAATAAAATATAGGCTATATTTTATATAGGYATAAGGTGRACCATGTTATGCGTCTTATACGTATATAAGACAAGTCAGTTTATTTATTTTTTTTCGGGGGAAGGATTATATTTTATTGTACTATTTTGGCCAATATGACAATACTGAATTTAAGTTATGGAATTTAGTCAAAAATAAGACAGCGGCATGATTTATCGTTTAAAGTACTTTAGTACTTTAATATCTCTATGAACGTTTAGTAGAGCTAGATCAGTTTGTCTTTCTTGTCACGACGGCCAGTACACCTTCATAAAAATGTCTTGTCGCGTTTTAAATTTTAATGTCAAATAAGATCGTCCGGAAATTTCTGTGGAAATCCAGAATCACTGGTAAGTACCTACTTTTAACAATAGATAAATACGTCGAAAAAGTTCAGGATTATTTTAATATAAATATTCTACAGATCCACTTGGGCGATCAATATTAAAAAATCTAATTCTATTATCGGACTCATTGTTAATATAAATAAATAAAAAGAGGTGAGAAGATAACATTATCTTGTTTTGAAAVTATTTTGTTGTGTTTTATAAAGTTTTAAATCGTCTATTGTAATTTTGGTATTCACATTAATTAAATTTTATGCCATTTTCAACAAAATAAGAAGTTGAATTTTGTATATAATGTTACTTTTCATGAATTGAATTAAACAGATCAATATTCAGTTACAATGTTGGTACTTGCACATTAAATAAAAAGTATATAAAATCATTGACAAAAAAATATCATTAACAAACATGGGCAATGGGCATCCACGTAGTTGATATTTTAGAGAGATGGGGGAATCAAAAAATTTCACAATTGTTAGCTGAATAAAGTTTCAATGTTATTTTAACTTATAAATACAAATACTAAAATACATAATATGTTATTTATGCTGGGGATCGACTTACCTATACATTTTTCTATGAATCATCAACATTAAAATATATATTCAAGTGGCATATAAATAAAAACTATTTAGATGCAATGGTTAATTTCAAAACGATATTTTTCTTAAGAAATGATAACTTGAATTTTACTTGAATAGTATATGAGCATGTCGTTATGCATAATAGCAGATATTCTTCAATCATTGTTCTTACTTCTTATAGACGCAGAACTCACTTAACTTATCTGTATAATAATGTGATACTATTATTTAAATTTAGATGCATATTACATCATTTAAATTCAAATTAGTTTGATAAAATAAATCGTCTAAATGATTATAATTATTGTTTACGACAATGTTTGAATACATTTCAATTCGCTTGATTGGTAATATTATAACTATGTTCGATATTGATGTATATCTTATACGCCCACCAAAATTATAAAAGGTATGTGTTAACATATTGTATATGCAGTTAACGATAAAACCTGTGTTAAAAATGATATGTATATATACAGTAACGAATATCTATTATAGTAAATTATTGAAAACATATTAATCGTAAATAGTTGTAATTAGTATTGTAAAAATATTTGGTATCTTGATACCATTAAATTAATAAATAAAAAAATATTTTAGTAATATATAGAGATATGCATCCATACCATATATTTTAGATTATATAATCTTGATACCATTAAATTAATAAATAAAAAAATATTTTAGTAATATATAGAGATATGCATCCATACCATATATTTTAGTGCTTACATAATTTTTTTCTCGTAAATTGAGTGATGAAAATTGATTTGTTTTTGCAGCATGCCAGTTGCAGAGTTTGACTACTGATATCCGTTAAAGTTTGTATAATAAAGAAATATTTGTATAACATAGCATACAAATACATACATACAATTTATCATCAAAGTATATAATAATAATAGTAACCATTGAAGTGGATTTAATTTTTTTTCATTTCGCTGTCAATAGTTATAAATATTTATTTTTGAATGTTGATTTTGTTATTGCGATAATAAAATTATGGAAATGTGGAATATTTTATAATATTTCTTTATCATATAATACTCGTATTAATAGTATTAAATTATAATTATTAAATTTTGTGATCAGAGGAAAATCAAATTTCTCCATGGAACTCTATTTTTTCGACAGCCAATTTCTATTTAGAAAATTTACATATATTTTGAATTTATTCTATCAAATATTTTGAATTTAATTTTTACCATTTAACTTTTTATATGTCATATTGCGTAGAATAAATTTAGTAGATAGGTAAAAGGTCTGAAAAATTACCCAAAAAAGTTTGAAGATCAAACACCATATAATTAATTAAAAATTCATCATTCTCTGCAATATAATGTATGCGTATATTTAGACAAATTTTTGGGGATGTCTCGTGTATGGTCTCGTTTTTAATTTTTACCTTTTTCATAGTTCAAATACGACCGTAGTCTTATCGAAAAATGATATTGAATAGCTCAATAGTACGTCCTTTGGTCCGCAGTCAAGAGATATAAATKATGATCGATGATTATAATACAAATCTACAGTAATATAGGTACTTTAGGTATAATTTACACAACGGTTACTGTGGCAATAAATGACAAGAAAATAAAACGGAATGTTATTTTAAATTTAATAATAACAGACCACGCGACTGCGATTCAGTTAGGTCAATAAGTGTGAGTGGTAAACTGAAACTAATGCGCGAAGTAGTTATAATGTAATAGACAATAATAATGGATACAGTTATTTAAAAAAATTGTATACAATTTAAATAAAATGTAAAGTAGGATTATAGATGCTAAAAAAAAAGATGATATATATCATTAATATTAGTACACTTAAGTTAAAATAGACAGATTTAATGAAAAAAAAAATTGTTCAATTTTATACATAATCGAAAAGAAATTGTCGATATCTCATATATTCATAACACACAAAAAGTGTAGATTAAAATATGACACAAATTGTATTGCCAGTTGTATATTATTGCCTATACGCATATATAGGCTATAGATACTTATATATGTATTTTATAATGACTCTTATTTTATGAAGTAAAGTAAAAAATTAAATGCGAGGAATCTTTTATTGAATTTTCAAGCTTTTTGACCAAGCGAAAATTTAAAATGTCTATAAAGTATAAATAGTTCAAAAATAATAAATATATATTAAAAAATTATACCATGTATGAAATGAAAAACATTTTTACTCTTTTGGTTATTGGTTTTTAAATTACAACAAAATAAGAAAAATGTCACAGTGGTACCCTGAGGCGTTAACCCAACAGTCAAACACTACTAACAGAATTTATAAAATGCTATAAATATAATATAAGTTATAAGTAGACAACACCCTGCAGAAAGTACACCATATTTGATATTTCATCTAATTTAGACGCTGCAGCTAGCTTTAGGCCCTAACACAATAAAATCAACAGTGACACAGTATATGTTTAACAATTACAGAAAAATGGACCTATATAATTAAATTTAACTTAAAAGCTTAAACTAATAATATTTGTAATTGATGTTTTAAATTATCAATAAAAAAAAAAATATATAAAAATAAGAAAATCTATTTTGTCGAAATCTGGWATTTTCGTAATGATTTGTTGTTGTTTTAATTCCTATATAGTAACCAAGAAAATAATTTGGTTGGCATTTTTAGTTTCACCCTCAAAAGTACCAACTAAAATCCAATTTTCAATCAGAAACCACCTTCAATGTTAAAGATCGAAGCAATTTTTCTACCTTGAAAGCCGTGAGTCACATATGAAAAACACACATAATTGTAAAATAACTAAACATCCATCTCTCCGTTAAGAATCTAAGTGTCTYTTCACCTACAATAGTATTAAACAAGGAGATCTGCTGCTCTAAGGGTTATCCAGGCTTACCAGACGGTGTCAGACGAAGCTTCGCTTTTGTTAGCCACTATATGCCTCCAGCTGACATCTTAGGTAAAGACAGACTTAGAATTAGGGTCGGTCGCACCCTCTCGCTAGAGTCTAGCGTTTTCTGGTGATCCATCCCCYTTTCCAAGGACGCAATGAAGAACTGATTCTGTGCGGAGACGGTTTATCTCTCTAGGATATATTATAGATAATTAAAAATTTTAAAATCTTAGATTTTAGATAATTTTAACACTGCCGAAAATTTCACGTATTTAGTCAAAATTCGAACTTTAAATGCTTATAAAAAAAATCGTGCCTAGGTATTTTTAATATTTTTAACTGCTATTKTAACAATATGTTAGGTTGAATTAAATTTTCAAGCTTTTCTACCCAACAAATACATTTTATCGATATTTAAAAAAAAAAAATTAAAATGTCAGTAAACAGCTCAAAACCGATCAAAATATTTTGAATTTTTTTAAAAATATAGAAAATGTCTATATAAACATTCAGTGAAAATTTCAAGTATCTGCGATTATTTGTTATTTGTTTTAGAGTTACACCAAAAGAAGAAAATCGCTAAATGAGAAATCTTGTGAAAATCCAATATTGTAAAAATTTAAATTTGATACACTCATAAAAATTAAATTTGAATTACTGGTG